TAGTTATCAAAACTGAAAACGAACTCCCTCTGAAAACGAACGCTTTTGTGTGTATCATATGTGTTTACTATGAACAGCTGTAAATTATTCGTCTGCTAAATAGACAAAATATTAAGATTGGGATTTTAATATTTTGGGATTTTTTAGATTGGGATTTTGATGGCCTGTGGGGCAAAGCCCGACAACTTTTATTACAGGAATTGGTGAAAGGAGGCGTCTACACAAAAAATACTTAAATTTGACAGATCGTTTGTAAAAATCCGTCCATTATTAACGGAGGAGTAGTGTTTCGTAGAAATTGCCTTCACGTATTATACAGTATATAAGGATAGAAGATAGATAGATGTGGTAGGTTTATTTAATTTAACACTTTATCATAGAATATTAATTCTAAAACTATGTCAATAGTTACAGAAATAAAAAAAATCTATAACCGTTTCTGTATCAGACCAGGTTCAGCTTTAGATTTTTTTTAAGTGACTAAGTTATTAAAATGATGTGATTGAAAAATTTTAATGGAGTATGAAAATTACATTACGATGGGTAGATGTTTGATATGAATTTGGAGGCTTTTTTCATAAATTCGAACTGCTTAACATGTGTTGGATTAACTTAACATTACTTGCACTTCATATTTACTTGTTTACATTTAGGTAAATTTAGTTTGTGTTTTGCTACATATATGCTTAAATTAAACTAAAGAATATAGTAAATAACTACATTGCACGCCGTTGATTTTTATGTTAAATCTGTGGCATATTTAATTATTAAATGGTAATACAGAACACTCTTATTTTATCTTAATATAGCTTGCAGTTCTTGAAGCTGATGAAGAGAACTGGTTTGTATATATTATGTTTGTTGATATTTTTGTAGAGTAGAATCAGAGATGCAATGAAACATATACTGTTTTTACTTTTACATATTTTAGTCCTTGATGTTTTGATAATCATATTACTTTTGTCTGCCGTCTTTAATGGTAAATTAATAATGTACAACTTTTTATAGTATAGATATTATTTCTTTGATATCTCAAAAGACTATTGATAAGGAACAACAGTATTTGTAAAGTTTTTAACAGCTAATTTTAGTGTGCTAATGATTTATTGTGAGTAAATATGGAAGGATTTGTGATTTAATTTGAAGAAGATTGGCCTAAAAATTTGTTTATTTAAATTTAATAAATAGTAGTTTTGAAACTTAAAGATTGGAAAAAATGTCAAAAATTAAGAAAAAAGATATGTAAATAAGGAAGATGAAGGTAAATCATGTATGTGGATAAGTTATTCAAAAATATTGTAAGTTTTTCTCATATCAGCCTACACAAGATTTAAAAACAAATAAAAACCAAAATGCTGGTTTCCAGTTCTTAATAGATTTAAATGCCAGAAGCATTCTATAAAGGCCATAAAGGTTAAAAATAGTTATACGTCCACCAACGCTTTTAGAAACAAAATTCAACCTCAACCTTTTAAGGTTGAACTTTGTTTCTAAAAGCGTTCGCGGACGTGTAACTATTTTTTACAACAGATGTAAGATCAAAATGTTTCTACAGTATTTCGTGTCCTCCTCTCGTTTTAAAGCACGGGTGCAACGGCTAGTAATCTATGAGTTGTTTATATCGTTGGTAATTTATAATTTCAAAAGAATTTGTTGGCTTTTTGTATTCAGAAAATTGACCCCTAAATATTTATTTTCATATGCACATTGGGTAGCACTTTTATCCTCTAGATGTGGCTTTCTTGGGTTTGGATGATATCCCGTGAAAGCCCTTCGTCCTATGCTTTTAAAATTTCAAAGTTTGTGCTGAACTCTGTTGTCAATCATCTGAACTTTTTCAGTTTAAATTTGTTTAAATCAAAACAAGATGGCCGTGATACAATTTTGTTTGGATCCAAACGAAACTGGTGTTATCGTTACGGTTGGTGATGTTTTGGTGAATTCTAGTAACATATTTTACTGTTATTTTTTTGAAAATGGAAAGAAGAAAATTACTTACGTTCGATTTTGTGTTTTCATATGTTTCATTAGTATTTGTAATTTTTCTAAGATACCTCGAAGAGATCGTGCACGCAATGAAAACAATAAGTCACGCAATACAAATAATAGGGTTATGACGAGACATAACTGTTTTCACCCTTATCAACTGCCCTTAGCCATGGACAATTCAGTGTATCCCCCTTTTTAAACTTGGACTAATGAATGAAGTATGTAGTTTTTGTGATGCTTTATCTATACTATTATATACAAATCTAGTGGTGTCTGTCTGTATGTTTGTTACTAATAGGCGCATAAACTACTGAACTGGCTGGGCTTTAATTATACAAAAATATAGCTACCATACCAAGGACCTTTATAGGACTATTCACACTTCGATACTGACCGTGGGCTTTGCCCCTTTGGCTTTAAAAGTTCTGAGGTGAGGATTTTAAAAGTAAATATTGATTGGTCTCCATGGCTGTCATGAGAACACATACAACGTTTGCAATTCGCTATGCCACCCAAATGTAAACAAGCTGAACAATCAAACCACATTAATTCACATTTCCACAGCTAATTTATAAATAGGCATATAATATTCTCTACAAACATGTGACATGTTTATTTAATCTTATATTTGATGGTTCATTGATTATTAATTTTATGAAAGAAGTGAGATTGTATATCTATTGCTGTATCTAACCCTAATTAATCATTTAAAATTTCGCTAATGTGAATAATTGTATTGAAAGATTTTGGTGTAAAAAATAGAGAAATTATAAAGTTCACTTTAATTCAATCATTTTAACATTTTTGAACAATTAACATGTGTTTAGAGTAGGGCACACACCTTAAAAATGGAAATTTTTTCTCAAGAAGATAATTAATTGTATATTTTGCCATTTTGAGAGAAATATTGTTTACACTATTTGCCTGTTCACAAATTTTTAATTCATAATTTCATATTACTACCCATAGATTAGTTATTATGTTTTCTAATCCAGAGGTAGTTACTACCTATCTATATTATAACTGTTGACACTTCCTGTAGATTTCACATTCTATTCTAATAATGAATAACTTTTTACGAGCGTTTCATGTTCATCACATGTATATTTTAAACCAAGTTCCTCTTAACTTAACCTACCCTTGACATAAACATTTTTTGAATGACGTTAAATTTCCTAATTCTAAGCTGATACACAAATATTTCAATTTAAAAACAACAATAAAAAACTAAGTTGTATATTCACTTGCCTTTGGTGCACGAATAGTAGGAGCTATAAATAGTAGGGATAAGTATATTTCTGTTTGTTTTAGTAGTAAGAGTGTTAATGTTTTTGTTTGTTCACATAGTATATACTGAGATATTTTTATAATCAATGCTAAGTGAGCAATGCTTTTTAGAAGCAAGATCACAAGTTTCTTTTCATTTAAACCGTAATATGCCCCAGATATTGTAAATTATTGTTTGTCTATGTTTGATTTTATCATTTAAAAGTAAGTAAAAGCTTTGAGTTTTTTATTTGTTTTATTGTTTGAAAATATTTTTTTATGTAATTATTAAGTTTAAAGTTTGATATGTACATTTATTGGAATTGAATCTTATTTTACACTGTTTTTCATTTCAGATTTCAAAAAGCACCATTTAAACATACATCATCCCCGGACGAAGGTCGGGTACTCTGCTAGTATTTCATATGTAAAAGCAGCTACAGGCGTTATTATTAAATTAATTAAAATATATATAGGATTTTGGAGTCACGAAGTGACGCTGGCTGCTAGTATTAACTTAAATACAATTCACGTAGAACTATTTTAGTTTTGCCTATTTCACCTTACTAAGATAGAACCACTTAAAAGATTTACCCGTCACCCTGGTTGGGAAGTCGCCTTCCGTCCGTGGCTGCAATCTGGATACAGCGATCACTTTGCCTATCTGCGGTCTGACCAGGCGCAGCAAGCACATCCTAAACACTTACACTAAACTCCGTTTAAAGGAATTAATTAAAGGTATTAATCATACACACACAAACATATACACACATTATTATAAACTATATATAATCAAATAATTATTTTTGTAATAGTTATCATATTCTATTATCAGGTACTGTATGTAGTTGTTCTGTCATGATTGTAATAGCAGGGCTTTTTATCTAAGTAAATTTATATCTCTAGTTGTCATCTAGTTAGTGTATGTTAACTTTGTCATTTTACTGTTCTGTACTCAACTTGTTGTTACAAGCCATTGCATAGTTTACTAATTTATACATTATTGTAAATGGAGTGATCCGTTGAAAATCATTAAATAGAACCATCAAACTATAATATCGGCAAATTGTTGTTGTCATATGGTCAAAATAATTTACCAACGTTGAGAGGTATGGGAATTTTAATTATATTTTATAAGTTGTAATAAATAGTGTACTGTCATACAGTTTGATTACACTTTTAAGTAAAAATGAAACCTATCATTTGAACAACATAAAATAACTGCGCTCATTTATTGCATAAAATTGTTTATGGTAACAAGTTTAATAACTTCTAATAGTTTACTTATAGTTAACTTCAGTTAGTTTACTATGTAGAATACTCTGTACGATACTTTTAATAAGCATTCTACATAACTCAAATCATATACCTCGAAGTTAAAAAAATGATTAATAGGACAATGCACACAAACAGCTTACTTTATCATATCGAGCAGTCAAAACAACAAGCGAAAAGTCGATGTGTATAACTCGCGCGAGGAAACGGTCGTGTATGTCAGGACCGACAGTAAAACAACATTGTAAATAAACAACACGTACAGTTACGTAAACACTGTTCTGCGTTGCGACGGTTGACGACATAGTTGTGCGTTTCTCCGCCAGGTCGTGGGAGCGTTAGCGACGTGCCGTCTCATCGACACAGTCCGACAGAGACAGAGATACCGCGGCACGTAGGTGCGAGAGAGAAGAAGCTACTCCGTCACCATGAAAAGGTGCAGCGGCTCGGCCAATGGCGGCGGCTCCGTAGCGCGCAGGCCCCCCTCTGTCCGCCAAAACAGTAGCTTTTGTTCAGTTCAGTTTCGTGTTGGCACCGAGGCGAACGGACGCTCCGTGACTGTGTAGTTGACATCAGGGGTAGAGCAGAATACCGACCGTAGTGAGTAGGTTCCCCCCAGTGACTCGTGCTGGTGTCTAGTGTTGTGTAGAGAGAGGGAGGTTTCTGTTTTGTACGAGGTCCGAACAATCAGCCACGCTGGAGATCTACCTGGAGATGGAGGCGCAAAGCCAGGACGGCGCGGGTCCGGCGGAGGTGCCTAATGATCCCGGGTGAGTGACATTAGCATGACGTACCTAGACATAGTCATAAAACAAGACTACAGTAGATAACATCACCTGCGGGGTCAACATAACCTATACGCGGTACCTCGCCACCGTATCTGGCCTGCACAGCTGATCGTGTACTGTACTTGGGGGATAAACTGTAATATCAATACTAAAACACAATATCAAAACAACAAACAAACAGTTAGGTTATCAACAACAGTGATAACTAACCTCACTTTTATACCTTGGTAAACTAACCGTGTAATCAATGTAATCTTACACTAGTTAAACACACGATTCCGTATACCATTTTAATACCGATAGTGTATGCTTATTGATAACGTTACTGATAAGAGATAAGCCCTCGTAGCTTGGACGTCAATCCGAGAGTACTCGAGTATCACATGTTTATCATTTACTACTTACTGTCGAGTGGTTCAGCATGATAAATAATCTTGTTTTGAAGCTTTATCAATTTGATAAATAAACTTTGATAACGTTTAAGACTTAATATTATTTAAAAATTAAAATAGACCTAGTAATTAATTAGTTATTAGTTTTAGTGTTTTCAGTAAGTAATAAAATTAGTATTATTAGCAAGTGATGATTAAATAGGTGTTATGTGCGTTAAATCTTGCCTGTAATGATAATAATAATTAAAATGATAGTTAACAACTATAAGCCTAAACATTGGTAAAAATTGAAACGCAAAAATGGTACAAACGTTAAATATATAGACATTTGAGGTTAAACTAGCAATTGAATTAAATAGTTTTTATGACGGGAGGTCGCTTTCATAAATTACCCTCGCCAAAATGTTATTTAATTTGATTTAATTGCCTTCAAATATACTGTAGTACCACCGGTACATATTAAGCGTAAGGTTTTAGAAAACAATTTTTCATAGGAGATGACATCAATGAATTCCATTAGTACGAATACGTACACAATAATTATTATTTGCAATTTAAGGTGATTAAAGATGATAAGCTTGAATTAGCGGCAAGCAAGAGCGGGGTTGACTCTATTGATCGGGCCCGGCCGGCCGGCAATGTAAGCGTGGGCATTCCACCCGGAACTACGCAAATATGTGAATTATATCCCATATACAGTAGTATAATATCACGTGTTACGTTTTATACTCCATGGAGCGCGACACAGCTGGCCACTCTGCTTCTCAGCTGATTAATTAATTTTAACTGCGGATGCATCTCATTCTTTCATTGTTATCTCGTTTATAACAGTTTTTAGGTTAGGAATGCACTTCAACACTTGTGTATATTAGTGTACGGTACATTTTCTATTCATTTGTGTACGGATTGTGTTTTTAAGGGATTTGTTTTAATTAAAAAAATATTGTTGTGTCAAATTCTAGAAATACATAGTGAACTAAATATTATTCAATACACGATACTATGGGAGTATGAATATTACATTCAGCATAATAGGCCTACATTAATATAAAGTTGAAAAAAACTAGCTTAAGCCAAAATTTTTCTCATTACAGTACCTAATCATTTTACATTTTACTGTTTTAAAGATTTGTTAAAATTATTTAACTGTTTAGTAACCAACTCTGTTAAATATAAAATATTTACGGAAACATTTTTGATATTTACCTACTAAGTTACCTAATTAATTATTTCTAAGAAATGGTAAGTGGGTTAATATTTTTTGTCAGAAGATTCGCCTCCTATAGATGTAAATAAAATAGGCCTAGTAAACGTTGGCTATCAACCAACGTAAGTAAGCTTAATAAGTTTGATGTAGTTATGAATGAACATTTCTATGGTAATGTGTTGACTTTGTTGAAAAGTATTTGTATTTCCATATCTTGCAAGTGATAATAAATGCCGGCGGCTATCGTATGAGATAAAATGTTTATTCGATATAGTTGGCCACATTAACCCTCTAACTTATGCCATTGTATTTAAACTGTTACAACAAAACTTTAAACTTAATACTAAGAACAATTAAAGGGTAGAACTTCCGGTATAAAAATAGGTAATAATTAGGTAGTTTTAAAAGACCACTTTTCTTAATAGGCCTACTAAAAAGTGTTCAATAACAATTAACGATCAAAACCTTTGGCAACAAAAAGATTAGACCTAGGTACATTTGTACTTAAGTTGTAGTTAAGTTATGCTAGCTTTAAAACAGTTTATAGAATACGGTAGGCATACTTAATGTAAAAGGAAAATATTATCCATACAATCGCTTTAATATTACCGGTAATTTTAAATACTTGCGACAAATAAGTAACTACGAAACTAACACTACTTAGGCTATTAAGTTTAATTTTAATGAAACATGAGAGCTATTTAGTATTGGGCTCTTCTGCAACTGTGTTAACCATTAGATACCTATTTAACTTATTCGCTAATTTCAATTACAATTTCAAACATTGTAATAAATTGTTATTTTATATTATTTGAATACTTTATTCGTAGTTAAGATAATTTTTTTTTCTTTACCAATGAACAATAAATGACGTTTGTTGTTTATTTTGTCCTTATAACTGATTAATAATGGATCTTATAACATAAATCTATGGTTACGTTTAGTTTAATTTAATTATAACTTTAATACGGTAACGAAAATCAATAAATAAATACCAAGCATTCGATTGAAGATTAGCGTTATAAAATATTAAAATAATATAAATATCTAACTCAAATAATATTTCTAAATTAATTACTTAAGTAGTCATCAATCGAAAATATTTTCAAGTGATATTACCTGTATTGTTCTAGGAGTTATAACTCTTATTATTGAACATGTAAATTGTGGCATATTTTTTAAATGTGCTGTTTTTCACTTATTAAATGGAATTGAGAACGTGCCTACACTATTGTAGGCACCGACGTGGCGGCACAACCAATAAACCTCTTAACATTAAAGTATGGTGTAATTATTAATCTTAAACAGATGATTAAAATCATATGAACGTCATAGTGTTTTGCCATTTTAGAATTCACTAGGCATACACCAGGACTACCTTTTAATATAGGCCTACCTAAAGTATTTTTGTTGAGAACAAAATAGACCACAATTAATTAGTTTATATGTATACTACTTTTTAGGGACCTGTATAAAAAATTACAAGTTACAAGCTGCATCTTGTTATTTGTAATTTCCAATAGATTTTCATCGGACGATTAGCTAGTTTACTAATAATATTAGTTAGTAGTTTATAAATTTCAATTCACACATATCAGTTCCGGCAGAGTTCCGTCACAGTTCAATCGTTGTTGCATCCTTAATTTTTCAGTCAAACTGCCAGTCATTTGGTTTCAGTCAGTCTTCCGTCACTTTATTTACAATGATGAGTCAACAATTTTTAATTAGGCTACAACAAAATATTCTATGAATTTTTCATCGTCTATCTAGTTGATTGCTACAAACAGTACTTAAAATTTAAAACGAGCATTTAAATAAAAAACACTATTTTCTAACCTCAAACACATCCGTCAGGCGTCCGAACAATCCAAAAATATCTGTGAGATGAAATCTGAAATTGACTGACAGACGCCGGCAGAGCGACTGACGGAACTGCGTCGGATGAGTGTATATAGCGCAATAGAAAGTTCATTAATAATATTTTTTCCGTGACGTTACTGATTTGACTGTACTGTGATGTGGCGTGTTAACACGTTTTGCGAATACAGTAATATGAATTACCTTAATACCATACTTATGTTTAAATACACTTTCAATATAATACGATGCAATTGTTTTTCCTATTGAGCTTAGGACGGTGTGTCGGACCAATCTACACCTCATGTAGACAATGGCTCGAATAATGGCTTCGAAGTGACAGTGTTTTTAATGTTCTTGTACAAGATCTGATGATGAAGACTTAGTCTTCGAAACGCGTTATCCGTAAGGAACAAACAGGATCACTCTGGCAGTACTCAGGTAATTTTATACCTTTTATAATAAAAAACTCTTCAGCAGCTGATTGAAATAAATATTCAGGGTTGGTAGGTCATTGAAAACCTGGGAAAGTCAGGTAATTTTGTTTGGTCTGAAAAAGTCAGGGAATTATGTTAAAATTCTGGAATTTCTCCTGAAAGATTACCTTTTTACAGATATGCTACATTTTGCTCTAAACATGTTTTTAACATGTTGATGACTAATGGCAAAAAGAACGACATAAGCACTGATGCACAATTTTTTATCGATAGTTAATTATCGGTGCGGGGGAGGAATCGATATGTATATAGTTCGAAACAAGCTCTGTATTAGAGAGTTATTAAAATGAGTTAAATATTTACCTTTTTTCTAATATTTCTTGATTTTTATTAGTCGATATCGACTTACGGTATACCTGGAAAAAGTATAATATCAGTCTGGAAAAGTCAGGGATTTTTTTCAAATTTAGTACCAACCTTGACATTGCCCTTATGATGGGCATATCCAAGATGACCGACAGCCTCCAAGGACTCCATTGGAAAGAAGTCAACAATAACAAAACTACAAAGAAAATTTCTAATCCCTCAGTACCATGGATACTTATATTAGCTATTTGAAAACAATATTTTGGAATGATAGATAACCCTTCAGCGGCTGTTATAAATTATCCAAGGTGACCGCTAGCCTCTTAATCTTGCCATGTACGTTGCTGTTTGGCAATGAACATTTCAATACTGATTCCGAGAAGTTGAGTTCACTGTATTTAAGAGCGGAGTTGGACACGTAAATTAAAGTGAACAGAGCGTTGTTAGTAGGCCTAATAGTCCCAGGAATATCCGACAATGCGCGATGCGCGAGTTGACAATACACGTTATTACCCCTGATACACGCATAGCCGCAGCGACGTGTAACTTATGTACATGAGCCGACAGGGCATTTCTAATTTTAGGCCGTAGACTGCATGCCGAGGCTCTGCAGACTGCACTAGCCACCAGAGACCTGCACTTCATTTGTGACTTTCATTTAATTGCAAGTCTCGTTGGGAGCAAAATGTGTAGGAATGCGAACACATTTGTTACTCTACCATG